TAGCCAATAACCAATAGAATTGACCCCGTGTTATCTGAGAAGGCGAATGCCCGAGAGGGTTGAAAAGAAAAAGGCACTCAACCCAAAAGCAGCTAGTGGGAAGGATGTTGAGGTACCGCGATGGTACGGGAAAGTTGGATGCAGCTATGCGGACAGTTAGCGATAACGAAATTGGTCAGTCCTTCCTCGACTAATAGCAATACCCGTTTTGATCGCCCCAGAAAATCCACAGCTGCTTCCTACTCCTGTGAGAAGCATGAAGAAACACAGTGTCGGCACTCCGAATGACCCTTTGCCGGAAACATATGCTACCGAAAAGTAAGTCAATTATGAACCTTGTGTAGTTTCCGAAATTATGGCGATAAAAGGAATACCTCGGTGCATTGGAAAATAGCCCGCCCCAAGAGCCACTATCCCCAGCAACATGCCGGGTCTTGGTCCCTTAGAATCGACGAGAAGGCCTACCGGAATTCCGCTGGCATACATTCCCAAGTTTCCGGCAGCTCCCTGGAATACGTCAGCAAGGTGAATTTCGTTATTGAGTCAGGTAATACATACAATCAAATTGCTGTCGGTAGATGACAACTTCAACCTCGCGGCAAACTGAGGAGCCCATGCCGAATACACGTACTGCACACATGTCAGACATTCCACCATCATTCAATTTAATGAAATAGTTACTATATAGAATACATACATTGGTTCCACATGCTAAGGCAACACACGTTGCGCCTACTATTGACATCAACCGCTGCATTTGAATGGAGGAAGCCGGCATCGCTGATATCAGGGGCGCAACTGCGCCACTAACGAAAGGTTTTCTGATAATGTATGATCAGACATCAAATCCCCACGGAAGTGTATAATACTGGGCCGACAGGAGTGCAGCCCGATACTGGACGTTAGAGAATTGGGTATGTTGACAGAATTTATTAATATGGAACAAAGAGGACTAGTGTAGCAAAGGCGAAGAAGCGTGGCAACCCTAGGTAAAATGAGGGAAGTATAATAACAACAGCACATGCAAACTGTTAGCCTTTAGAGCGTTTCTGAGATTTTGGCCACATTAAAGGATAAAAGGAGCCTGAACATCACACTCTATGCTGGGGAATTTGAGAACAAAAATGATCCGTCTAGCATTTCCTGCAGGTACAAATGCAGGGCAGATCCTCCGTTGAGATTACGTAACCCGGCGTATTGTGCCAGATGACGTTGAAAATTACTGTATTTGGATTAGGGGCGTCAAGCTTTAAGCCCCCCCATTTCTTACATCATCCAGCACTTTCTCAACCTTCCAAGGCCTCCACTCCAGCTCATCCACCACTCCACCACACTGATCCCAACACAACGCAGATGCGCTCCTGATATCGTCTCTTCATTATTATATAATTGCCTCACTTAATATGGGCGCGCTTCTGTCGCTGCCTTTGATGGCAGTGCCCGGCGTCGGCACCGTGAGTCTGACTCGTTCCCTCCATCCACGTCCTGATCACTAACACTTTTGCCGCCACTAGTTGATAACATTCTGCGCCTCTTGTTGCGGTGCGGCTACATGCTCAGCGATATGTAGTGCCTGTGGGAAATTCCAGAGCAGGTATATTTCTTTCCCTTCTTCTCCTTCACGGTTTAAACCTGCTAACCACTGAATAGCATGGCCACGAGGATCGCCTACGCCGTCATACTCCTGTTTAATTCAATATTGTCCTGGATAATGTTGACACGATGGGCGCTAAGCAAACTAGAACATCTCACATTTGACTTTTTGCCGATCAGTTGCGAGGGAGAAAAGTGCTATGGTTGGGTTGCGGTTCATCGGATCAACTTCGCTCTCGGGCTATTTCATGTCATTTTGGCACTTCTCCTGCTCGGGGTCCGTTCTTCTAAGGATGGTAGGGCGGGCCTTCAGAATGGTTTCTGGGGCCCGAAAATCATCGCGTGGCTGCTTTTGGTGGTGATGTCATTTTTCATCCCCGAAGGGTTCTTTTTTGTTTGGGGGAGCTACATATCCTTCATCGGTGCCATTTTGTTCCTACTACTAGGTCTTATCCTGTTAGTCGATTTGGCCCATACCTGGGCTGAAATCTGCCTGCAGAAGATCGAAGAACTCGATTCTCAAATGTGGCGTGTCTTATTGATCGGTTCGACACTGGGCATGTATCTTGCGTCCATCGCCATGACTGTGATCATGTACATCTTCTTCGCCCATTCTGGATGTACCATGAACCAAGCTGCCATCACTGTGAGTTCGAGAGTTTATTTTTATTTTTATTTTTATCTTTTATCTAACGATTGAACATGGTATACTAATATGGATTCCCAGACCAACCTTATCATCTTCCTAATCATTTCGGTGGTCTCGGTTCAGCCTGCAGTTCAGGCATCCAACCCTCGAGCAGGATTAGCACAAGCTGCAATGGTCACAGTCTATTGCACGTACTTGATGCTGTCTGCGGTGTCAATGGAACCTGACGACCGTCAGTGCAATCCCCTGGTTCGCGCGCGCGGCACCCGAACAGCCTCGATCGTCATTGGTGCTATAGTTACAATGTTGACCATTGCGTATACCACTACCCGCGCTGCTACCCAGGGTATCGCTCTTGGCTCTAACGGAGCTCGTAACAACTACTCACGCCTTGGCCAAGATGAGATGGAGCACGGGCTTGTAACCCAGCAGCCTGGGTTGAGCCGCAGAGAAATGCGTGCTGAGGCTCTCCGCGCCGCTGTTGAGAGTGGGAGCTTACCAGCAAGTGCTTTGGACGAAAGTGATGATGAGTCAGACGATGAGCGATCATATAAAGATGACGAGCGCCATTCCACTCAGTATAACTATTCCCTGTTCCACGTCATCTTTTTCCTAGCCACTACTTGGGTGGCGACCTTGCTCACCCAAAATCTGGACCCCGAGGCAAAGGACAATTTGGCTCCAGTTGGAAGGACATATTGGGCTTCTTGGGTGAAAATTATTAGTGCCCTAGTGTGCTATGCAATTTACCTGTGGACGCTGATTGCTCCCATTTTACTCCCTGATCGATTCGACACCGCCTAAGCAGCGTGATATACCGTTGATGACACGATCTTTCGTTATTCTTGTTGGCGTTCCTCGCATTGGGGTTTGTTATTTTCAAATTTGGAATAGTATCGCTTATCCTAGCTAGTTTGCGTTCGTGAAGCCGTAGATATACCACTCTTTCTCAGCCTTGATCAAATACATTATTACATTATTTTTACTGGTAGAACTGTTCAGTATTTGCACGCTCGATATCCCATTGGGAGTTGTAAGTTTCAAGGAAGGTGCTGATGACGTCAGCATGCAATTATGTGCCTGAACACCGCGTCTACGCGAATGAACTTTGCAAACCACCAGCATGGGAATAATATGGCCACCATCAAGGCCATCGAAGCTCGTTCGGTATTTACTCACTATTCAAAGCCCTAAATCGGACTACGCGACGCTAACCATCGAGTGATAGGTCCACCAAATCCAATCTGGCCAAGTTATAGTCGACCTATGCTCTGTCGTGAAGGAACTGGTGGAGAACAGCCTAGATGCGGGAGCAACATCTCTAGGTATTACGATATAGTTGAAGTTAGCAATTATCACAAATGAACCTTACTGATTGCTTGTGGTATTGTATAGATATCCGGTTCAAGAACAACGGGTTAGACTTGATCGAGGTTCAAGATAATGGAAAGGGAATATCCCCAGACGACTACGAGACAGTTGGTATGGACGCACGGCGCACAAAGTCCAAAAATCCATTTACTATGCTGGTTTGCTAAATAATTCTTATTTTTACAGCTTTGAAGCACTACACCTCTAAGCTGTCAAAATTCGATGATTTATCCTCCCTTCAAACCTTCGGTTTCCGGGGAGAAGCCTTGTCTTCCCTCTGTGCCCTTTCCAACTTCCACATCATTACCGCCCAAGCACACGAAGTCCCTAAAGCGTCGCGATTAGAATTTGAAATTTCCGGAAAGCTTAAAAGCACACATACAGTAGCAGGCCAAAAGGGAACCACTGCATCGGTCGAAAATCTTTTCAACAGACTTCCCGTACGACGACGGGAGCTCGAGAAGAATATCAAAAGAGAATATGGCAAGGTACTGGGCCTTCTGCATGCCTATGCATGCGTCAGTACCGGGGTTCGATTTAACGTCAAAAACCAAATGCCTAAGGGGAAGAGTGTCGTGGTTTTTGCTACCAAATCGAATACCTCGACGAGCGAGAATATATCCAATATATATGGAGCTAAAATTCTCCTCGCCTTGACCCCTCTTGACCTCGAATTGGAATTTAAGCCTAGCGGAATGGGAAAACGTTTGATTGGGGCTGGTACTAATGACCCGAATAAAATATTCGTTCAAGGCCATATCTCGAGACCTATTTTTGGGGAGGGAAGGCAGACTCCCGACCGCCAGATGTTTTTCGTCAATTCGCGCCCATGTGGTCTTCCGCAAATCGCAAAGGCATTTAATGAAGTGTATAAATCCTTTAACATCTCGCAGTCTCCATTCATCTTTGCCGACTTTAAAATGGATACGAATTCTTACGATGTTAATGTTTCCCCTGATAAACGTACTATTTTGCTCCATGACGCCGGCGCTCTCATAGAGTCATTGAAGGTGTCTTTGACTGAATTATTCGAGCGTCAAGATCAAACGGTCCCACAATCTCAAGTTTCTGGAAAGCAGTCCATGTTGCAGCATTCCTCGGGCACAAATATTCCTAAATTCATCTCTAAAAAATCTGTGGAATCAAGCGCGCCTCAACATTCTAAGGAAATTGGGGAAGCTGATGGAAATAACGAGGAGGACGAGCAAAGGGCGATGAGAGCTTTCGTACAACGTTTTACTGGTAATAGTACAACCGCATACGACATCCCTGAAATCCCTGAAACCCAAGAGAACGCGGCGGTCGCGGACTCCCCCCAGTCCGCGGAAGAATATTCAATTGCGAACGAAGGTGTTCCGCAACCCGTTACTACATCCCAAGGGGTTGAGAAAAATATATCTCCCCAATACCAATCTTGTGAAAATGAAAAGAACAACTCGGCAACCACTTCCGCCCCAGTTTTAGATGAACTCTCCGAAAATCGAGCTAACTCAGCCTTTACTCTTGCATCCTCCCTTCTAAGACAGCAACCGCTTCAGTCGGTACGGAGCAGTCCGGCGAAACATACACCCAATGTGATCAAGAACGCCTTCGACCGAATGCGACCCAGCAGACCACCCCCCGAGCTCGCTACTATTACAGTAGGAAACCGAACGGTCACATCAACGATAGGCAGAGAACAAACCAAGCGAAAATTTGGAACAACAAGCCTTGGAGGTTCATCCTCTCGTCCAAAGCGCCGAATTCATGTTTCAACTAGCAAAAGTAAACTCGGGCAGGGTCTACGATCGTATGCGGCACCAGGCACTCAAATGGATGATGGACTGGAAAGCATCAGCAGCAGTGGTGAACAAGGTCCCTTAGACGCTGACTCAGAATCCGAGTCCGATGATCATGATGAAGAACTGGATGAAATCCACTCTGGACAGGAAAATGAGCATGAATGTGACGACAGTGGGAAACTAATTGGACGAGACGACATGGAAGTAGGAAAAACAACAGAACTACATGATGAACCCGAGGTATCCGATTCTGATGCAAGTTATGTGGACGAACAGGAGAAAAGGGTTAGAGAAGAAGCGAGAGTTGCAGAGCTGATACAAGCCGCGGAAGAAAAGGCGTCCATTCCCTCAGAAGATACTATACGAAGAGTCAACAAGATATCTAAACGACCGGTTGGCGGAGCGTCCACAGTCGATCTGGTAGGATCTATTAATGGGTCATTGGCCAGGATCAAGGCTCATGTTAGGTTGCTTCAGGAGGAACTACAGAACATTAACAACACTAGTTCTACCATCAGCGAGGGAGAGATAACCGAGGAGCTTGGCGAGCCAGGGTCATCAGAAACACGGCTATCTCTCTCTGTCTCGAAGGAGGACTTCGCTAGAATGCGCATCATCGGACAATTCAACCTGGGATTCATCATCGTAACACGACCACGGGGGAACCCAAATGATCCGAGGGCATTCCCAAGTCACAAAAATGACGAAGTATTTATAATCGACCAACACGCATCGGATGAAAAATACAACTTCGAGCGCCTCCAGGCCGAAACTGTTGTGCAAAATCAACGACTGGTCAAGCCAAAAATCCTAACCCTCACGGCTGTTGAAGAGGAAATCATAATCGACAATTTGCCTGCACTGGAAAAGAACGGGTTTGTTGTGGAGGTCGACAGGAGTGGTGACGAGCCCATCGGGCGCCGATGTAAACTCACCAGTCTACCACTCAGTAAGGAAATGGTATTCGACACACAGGATCTTGAGGAGCTAATAGTTCTGCTTGGTGAATCCCCGCAAACACAATCTGCATCATCACCATCGTCATCAGATTCCGTCCTTACCCCCACCACACTTGGAAGTAAATATATTCCTCGTCCAAGTAAAGTTCGCAAGATGTTCGCGATGAGAGCCTGTCGGTCTAGCATTATGATTGGGAAGACGCTTACTAACAAGCAGATGGACCGTGTCGTGAGACATATGGGGATGATTGATAAGCCGTGGAATTGCCCTCATGGACGTCCGACAATGAGACATCTTATGAGTTTGGGGGAGTGGAGTGCGTGGGATGAATGGGAGGCTGCGACACAGTTAGCATCGGAAGATGGTAATGACGTGCGTCCAAGTACTGGGATAGCTGTTTGGAAGAGGTTCCTCTCCGACTTGGACGAAGATTAAAACGCGGATTTTGTTGTGATTTATTACGGACGTCCTATTTTTATTATCGTCATTTTGGATTTCTGCTATTCTATAAAATATATTTGTTTTGGGGAATGCTGGACAGGCTTTTGGACAAATGATGTCCGATCATATTCTTAAGCATTTTTGTATTTCTTTTATAGAATACATGTACCGGGGTGCAGTATCTCAAACAACTCAACCATTTCAAGGTTTTCCAACAGAAAGGTCATTCGTACCCTCATTACAGCTGGACGAAATAAAATAAAATAAAATAAAAGCCAAAAACAGGCAAAGCCTCCGTCCTAGAAATCCTGACAATAAAAATCACAAATAACGGACGTAAATAGTGACGATACCTGTTCCCTCGTCACCAATAACTCAAAACCATCGTCTCAACTTACTCTCCGCCTTCCGGTTCATCTTCCCATTCTTCTCATCCTCCTCCTCCGCAAGCCGCAGCGTTTCCTCCGTGATAAGCAAATCCCGTTCAATGAGTTCTGCCCAATTCTGCAAGTCCCCCACTTCATTTAGGCCCTTTCTACCCATATCAGCCAGTTTCTCCAATTCCTTTGACTGCTTCGCGAGATCTTGGGTCGTTTTCTTCAATTTCTCCTCCTGCTTCTTGATGGCATTGTCGTTGTCGTGAAGTGCCTGCGCACGCATCCGCAGGTCGGCATCCAAGTTTGTTCCGACAGAAGTCAGAGAGGCAGTGAAGGCGGCCTTTGCTTCGGTTGTTTCTTGTGTATGCGCGGTGGCCATGGAGGTGGATGGAGAGGAGTCGTTCATGGCTATATTGACCAAAGCGAATTTTGAAGATGTCAGGTAGTTCTAGGAAGCAAATCCAAAGTCCTCTCGACTGAATTTTCACTCCGGCAGAGTCAAAAGCAATAGTATTTAAATCAGCCTGCCAAGTCAGGAATTCTCTACAGCCCGGAGGAGCAAGTGAACAGCATGACGAGCATCCAACGACCCCGCCATGCAAATCACGCGCTATGCAGGTGCCTGCCTGCGTCTAAACGCTACATGTCTGCAACTTGGTATGGATAGCCAGCTGGGCCAGTTCTCACACTTGGGTTGAGGAAGCGGGAACTTATGCAAGAATGAATGCGTCGTCATTCCAGGTCGGGTTGTTGGTGGGTGGAAAAGCATTTGTTGGCTTGCAGCAAATATGTACTTGCTTGTATGTTCTCATTTGGTATCTAAATATCTTAGATCTGCGCTTGACAATTCTGAAATTTGCCAATTGTTATCGCAACCACTCTTGTCTGTTCTTGAGCTCGAAGGTGGAGAAATTATCAATGTTTCTTAGGAACAAACAACCGGGTCAATTTTTTTTTAAAAAATATCTCCCAACATGTAATTCTATCATCGCAACTCATCAGTGTATCCTGGATCGCCATTGCAGAAAACATGCCATCTCTATATATCTGTATCTCAAGCCCTACAACTTCCCCTTGACCTCAACGCCCTGTTCCGGGGGATCAATTGGCGTTATCTCAGCCAGTAAAATACCTTCTGGCACATCTTCCCCATTCCCATCTTCCAGCTCCAAAGCCCATGTAACTCTCCCCGCCTTTGGGCTTCGAACTTCGAGTTCCATTTTCATTTGTTTCACAAATGCGATCACGGTGTTTTCCTGGATTTCATCCCCTTCTTCTACAAGCATCTCAGTCACTTTTCCGCTCATAGGAAGAGTGATGTGGGAAGAATTGTTTGGGTTTCCTCGTCGATGAGTTGATGATAACGAACTTGATGAAGCTGACGTCCTGGCCAAAGTTACTCGATACGGGGTAATCGTTGCTGTTTGAGTCGCAGTTGCTGGAGTTGTATACTCAATTTCTGCGCTTAGCGATGTTGGAAATTCGTTGCGGAGAAGTTTGCTCAGCAGAAGGTGATGATGAGGAGCTTGGGAACCGGGTCCCTTTGTCGAGTTCAAGGGCGCCAACTCGACGGACCAAGCATCTCCTTTGCGGAAGAGGACACTTGACGATCCAAAAGATAATGCCTGGGAGGCGGAGAAGCTGGGTAAGCTGGGTAAGCTTGATCTATTCAAGTTGGAGCTTGACAGCTGTTTTCCATGTTGAATGATATCTCCCAAATTCTTTTCCATCCATTGCGTATCGATTTGCCATTCTTGGAACTCGATGTTCCCGATAATTCCTTTGAGGACGTCGATGTTGGTCTTAACCCCTGATATTCTTGCATCATTCAGCACTCTGCATGCCTTTCGAACTACGCCGTCCCAACTGGTGGAGGTGACTATTATTTTTGCCATCATGTTATCAAAGTCTGAGCCAATGACTAGCGATGACGACCCCGATATATGAGTATCCACTCTGACGCCGTTGCCTCCAGGGACATGGAATTCGGTGATTTTGCCGATACTCAACGCGAAATCGGCGGTTGGATCTTCAGCACATAATCTCAACTGGATTGAATATGTGGCGGGAGGTTGTTCTGGATTCTTTATGTCGCCCAGCCCCATATCTCGCAGCGACACCCCTTGGGCTAGCAGAAGCTGTGTCTGGACAAGATCCACTGTTGAAATGCATTCCGTGATTGTATGCTCGACCTGAAGACGGGGGTTAATTTCTAGAAAATAGAACTTCGATAGTTTCTCGCTGGCCAAGAACTCGAAGGTTCCCAGTGACAAGTACTTGATCTATGTTCCAAGTCAGGGATTTGTATCCAATATGATATCTAGGAAGGCAACTTACTTCACTCGCCATCCGTAATGCCGACTCGATGACCCTTTTAATCAAAGTTCTGTTCTTCATCATGGCAGGCGCACACTCCACGATCTTCTGAAACCTCCGCTGCACACTACAATCTCTTTCCCAGAGATGCCTGACCTCGCCAGTACCATCCCCAACAACCTGAACCTCAATGTGATGAAACCCTCCCACTGCAGCCTTTTCCACGAACACCTTTTTGGAAGGGGACTCCCCCGTCGCCCGATCAATAGCAGACTGCAACTCATCAGGTCCCTTGACAAACCGGATTCCCCGCCCGCCTCCACCATCTACAGCTTTTACCATAACAGGATATCCCACCTCAGCTACAAATTGACGTATCAAGCCAATATCGCTTGTTGGCGTTCTCATCGCTTTCAAAATCGGCACGCGACATGCCTCCGCCAGCATCTTCGCTTGCAGCTTATCTCCTGTCCTTGCCAGTACCTCCCAGCCGGGACCGATGACTTTGACCCCAGCTTCCTCCCACATGCGCTGGGCGAATTCTGCACTTTCGCTTAAGAATCCATACCCCGGGTGGATTGCGTCTATGGAGTGTTCCCGCGCTAGCTGCACCAGCAAAGCAATATCCATATAGGATGACGGAGATGGCAAGGATACGGCATGGTGCGGTGCTCCCAAATCACAATGTGAGCGGTCATCTGCTGTGTAAAGCGCAAAGGTTTCGATGTTGGGTAATTCACGAGCCGCCTGAAGAATGCGAATTGCGATCTCTCCTCTGAAAAGTAGCAAATACAAAGTAATTGTGTTAGCTTTCTTGTTACTCATTTAGCTGTGATTTCTAGTCCCTGAAATCCGCAGGTTTTGCCTACCTATTTGCAACTAATAGTCGCTTTATGGGACGTGCTGGAGGAAGAGACATGATTCTAGAACTTCCTGGGGACTCGGCCAAAGAGATGTATAAATACAATTTTCACTATCATTCAGGAAATGAAAAATAGAAACCCTCCACTTTCCACTTTCAACCGACGGAACCAGGTTCCTTTTGTCATAAGTTTGTTTGTATGAGCGTTACTGAGAAAAGGATGCTAATCCGTGTTTAATAACAAGTAGCACAACCAACTCCACATAAACAACTCAGGAATGAACATCATGTCCTTTTCTCTTGAAAGAATTTTTGGAGCAGATCATATTTCTTCAGCCCGTCCGCCGGCGGGCTTCGATATTTCCCGGGGAACTCTCTGATGGAGCAAAGGAGGGCCGAGGTTCGGCTCAATGAACAAGCCTGGTACGATCGCCGGCCAGATTGAACAGATTGAAATACACACAGCAGCCGAGGGAATGTTTTTATTGCGTTGATTTATTATCCACAATAGTTGAGAAAATTGACACTATCCCCTCTCATTATACGCTGTTGTATACCCTACTGTTCCTGGAGGCTCACATGTCGAGCAGCTTGACTTTGCCGGGTGGCTGCATCGGCACTGGATATAGCCGGCAGATATCCCTAAGACCAAAGAATCCGGCTACTTAGTTTTTCTCCGTCATTCTCTAACCGATTAACACTCGGTATTATCAGATTCGGATTCCTATTTACTCTACACGCCTTTCCATAGCACCATTGAGAGAGCGAGGAGTTAGGGAATCAATTTTGGAAGCAGATACCTAGCCAAAATGACAGACGATCAACCCTCCAATGGCAGCTCTGGCAGGTCAGATCCCACAAACCCGACAACCCAAGCCGCATATCGGCTCAATCAGCTCTCTTCACACATCTCAGGAAACAAGCCGAACAGTAAAAAAGCCAAAAAGTCCCCATCCACGCTTCCAGCAGACTACTCTGATGTCCTCAGCCAAATCGCAACCTTACGGTCCCTAGCCGCCACCCCCGACTTACAAAATAGAGGTTATATTCGACAAAAGCAGGCTGGAAAACTATGGGTCCGCGAGCGCATCGACCAGCTCCTTGACCCGGGAACGTTTCGCGAAGTAGGATCCATCAGTGGCACAGTGAAATGGAAGCAAACCGGCCCGCTGACAGAGACACCTGTGGCATTTACTCCCACCAACAACCTGCAGGGTCTGGGTAAACTGCGGGGCCGGGCCATAGTGCTCACGGCCGACGATTTCAGCATCCGCGGAGGACATGCGGATGGCGCTATAGCTGAGAAGACCATGTATATGGAGAAGATGGCCGTTGCGATGAAATTGCCGATTATAAAATTAGTGGA